GCGGGGGGGGGGGGGGAGGGGGGGGCGACTCCGCCCCGAGCTGCAGGATCTCATCACCGGTGAATAAGCTTTATCCTCTCGAATGCCCTGGGCCCTGCGTGACTGTTTCTTTACCCTTGCACGCCAAAATAAGACAATCGCAAAGGCGATAATGAAGGCAGTGATAAAAAAGAAGGCGCTGTTGACTTGCTTCTTACATGCGATGCAGGTCGTGCAGCGGCAGACGCGTGGATCAGAGGAAGTCGGGACCGAATTTCAAATAAAATAATACATATATCACTATATATATATATATATAAAAAAAGAAGAGAGAATGGCTTAGATGCTGTTGAATGAAGTGGAACCATCTGTGTTCTACTATTACGAAAAAGCATGCCATATATATAGAGAGCCATTTGAGTATGCGAAATGGACCATAAACATGTGTCCTCGCTTCTGTTGGCCTCGCGTGAAACGCGACGCGCGAGGCCGCAACGAAGTACGGTCGAATGGGATTTCCCGATGGCCTTTACCGATGACCTTTTGACCTTTGCGACTCCGGCAGCCCGGTGAACTGGTTTTTGCTCTTTCTCGACAGGTCCCCGATCGAGACGAGTCCGGCGGAAAGAGAAGCGAGCGGAGGAGAAGCGGCCGCGAACGGCGTTCACGTCGGAGCAGCTATCGCGCCTGAAAGCGGAGTTCGACGCGAACCGCTACCTGACCGAGAAGCGCCGCCAGGACCTGGCGCGGGAGCTCCAGCTCAACGAGGCGCAGATCAAGATCTGGTTCCAGAACAAGCGGGCCAAGCTGAAGAAGAGCACCGGGGCGAGGGGGACGCTCGCCCTCCAACTCATGGCTCAGGGTCTCTACAACCATTCCACGATTCCCGTCGAGGAGGACGAGGACGTCGAGGACCCCGGCAGGCTCTGACGACCCGGTCGACTCTGGCGACACGGTCGGCTCTGGCGACACGGTCGACACGGGCTTTCGTCCGCGACATGCAAGCCAAAGACGGTGCACGAAAAGCCTGAGGAAAAAAAAAAACTTGGAGGAACGAAAGCCGACTGGAAACGGGGAAAAAAAGCCACCGAAATCCATTCCGTTGAGTACAATTTCTGCCCCGAGAGATCGCTCGCCCGTAGTTGCCAAATCCCGCAAAAAGAAACACACGCGAACGGAAGAAGGAACTCGACAACCCTGTCTGTGATTATTTTTATCCAGTTGACCTTTTTTGTGCATACGTGTGTCGTGCATGACCTCAATCGTCCATGTGGCATATTTATTTACAAAAAAAAAATTTGTTTCCCCCTCTCAGAGGCTAAGCA